AGAATGATCTTGTAAATCTATTTTCACTAGAATGATCTTGTAAATCTATTTTCACTATTTTTCTTACAGGGAATTCTCCCTGATGGAAGAGAGATTGCAGTTAAGAGGCTATTCTTCAACAACAGACATAGAGCAGCAAATTTCTACAATGAAGTAAACATAATAAGCAGTGTGGAGCATAAAAACCTTGTCAGGTTGCTAGGATGTAGCTGTTCAGGACCTGAAAGTCTTCTTGTCTACGAGTTCCTACCAAACAGGAGCCTTGACCGTTTCATCTTTGGTAATCACCAATTATTTTGAATCAGATATCTTCACTGACCTTCCAAATTTCAATCCAGACTGAAACTGATAGTTGTTACATTGTGTCAGTAACAAATGTTTCCATTTTCATTTTTTCTCAAAAACGCAACAGATCCAGACAGAGGAAAAGTACTTAACTGGGATAAGAGATATGATATCATTATTGGAACTGTAGAGGGTTTAGTCTACCTTCATGAAAACTGCAAGACCAAAATAATTCACAGAGATGTAAAGGCTAGCAACATCTTGCTGGATTCAAAGTTCCGTGCAAAGATTGCTGACTTTGGGTTAGCAAAGTCTTTCCAAGGAGACCAAAGTCACATCAGCACATCCATTGCTGGAACTTTGTAAGTATTTGGTTTCCTTTTTTCTGTTGCCAACAAGCATTAAAAGTTACAATTTTATTTGTTTTGTAAGACCAATGATACACCCACGTCAATATCATGAAATTAGCAAGATAAACATCAAATGTTCTTGGAGAAGTAATTATCTGTTCTTGACAATCTACAGGGGATATATGGCTCCAGAGTACCTAGCCCATGGCCAATTAACAGAAAAGGCAGATGTATATAGTTTTGGAGTGGTCTTACTAGAGATTGTTACAGGGAAGCAAAACAACAAAAGCAAAGCTTCAGAATACTCTGACAGCCTCGTTACAATTGTCAGTTTCAGAAACTCCATGCTTTCCTAGTTATAACATGAAGTTTAACTAAGGTTGATATACGTCTGACTATTGTTTATGGTTGAGCAGACATGGACACATTTTCAATCGGGGACGGTGCAACAGCTTTATGACCCAAATCTAATGTTACACAGCTGCCATAACAGTGATGTGAAGAATGAGGTTCTGAGAATGGTGCATATAGGACTTCTGTGCACTCAAGGGATTGCAGACCTAAGACCATCAATGTCGATGGTGCTACAGATACTACGGAAGAAGGAAGAACACCTCCCTGCACCTACTAGTCCTCCTTTTGTAGATGAAAAAACAATGGAACTAAACAACGCATGGAAGTTTTATCCCCTAAATGCATCTGATTCAGCATCAATTGCCACGATCGAACACAGTTCTTTCTATGCAAGATAATGACAAAGTTTGATGGGGAAGAAAAAGGTCAATTTTGCAAAGGATTTTGAGAATCAAATAACAATCTAGCTCGCTCGAATGCCTTCTTTTGAGCACTTGATGAGGTAACAAAGATGATTAAGTGACCCCTGTTGATATTGTAAATAAAATGAAGATTTGGATCCAGGAATTAATTTATAGATACAGGAATGAGGACGGTATAGTCCTCTACTACTACGACGTGGTTTTTTTAAAGGCACACATCATTGTGAACATAGAATATTTGTTCAACTTTGCATAAATTTATCAACTCGTTTCGTTTCGACAATATTCTTTGATATTTTAATTTTTAATTTTTATATCTTTTTATTATTTTAAAAATATATAAAATATTAATTAAAATAAATATTAGATATATAACATATGTTTTATATATTTTTAAAATATTAAAAAATCTAAAAATTTGTAACTATAATTACAAGTTAACATTGTTAAACTAAGTATTAACTCATCTTATGCAGCTAAAACTTTGTGAAGAATCATACAAGACAGGCAGATAATGGATATGAAGAAAGGAAAAGGAAAACAAGAGAGCTAGAATAGTACATAAAATAACTAAATTACTTGGACAATCCAATCCTATCACAATTTGGATTCCAGAAGTTAGAATCCTTAATAATAAAAATACCAAAGTTTTTTTTTTTTTTTTTTTTTGTGCAAAAATATCAAAGTTTATATCCCTATAGGTACCATTTATCATAAAGGTTTTTAAACCCGGCTTAGACTGGATGGTTGGACCGGTACGCAAAAATAGCACCAGGACACCTGAACAAGATGAGTGGTCAAACCGCTATAAACCGATAAAATTAGTGAACTAGTAAGGCCGACCGGTTCAAGATATTACGCTAAAATTAAAGATCTAGTCCGAAGGACTTGAACTACATCATTCTATTGATAGAGGATGCATTAAATTTTATTTAATTTAGCTTAAATTATATATTTAATTAATTTTGACATCTTAGATACTCTAATTCATAATTTATTATAAATAAAAATTACACACCTACTACTAAGACATCACAAATTTTATTATATCTCTCACATAAAGATAATGGCCCTTTGTCCCGCACATGGTGGCCTATTGGCCACCCCCTTGCGGACATGCGTAGCACTAATATAACCTGGGATCAAATCTTAGGTTCCCTTCCCCTTCTCCTTCCCTTTCCTCGGAAAAAAAAGTTTCACACTGTTCAAAAAAAAAAGATAATGGCCTTTTTGCATCTGCATAAAAATAATGTTATTATAGCTAATACTTAACTTAAATATTTTATATAAAATAAATTACATTTATGATCTAATCCGATCGGATTGACGATTAAACTAGTAACAAGTGACCAAAATAGTTTTACCACCAATCTGGCTTTAAAACATTGCCTTTTTTTCTTCCTTATTGCAGAAAATCCAACCTCATGTGAATACATGAACTTTCCATGTGGTAAATTTCTCACCCTATAGTTAAAAAGTTGCACCTATAGCAACTCTTTTTGAATGTTAGCATGGTAATTTCAACCATTGCAAGTTTACTCATTTAATGAGGCAAAGAAAATTATGCATAGGTGGTTCGCTTTTTATCTTATAAATACCTATGCATGCAAAGGTAACAAGCAAGAGAAGGTGAGCAATACCAAGTGAGCAAAGTGAGTTCCAAAAAGAGGGCTCGGGTGAAAAAGAAAAGGGTGAGAGCTTGGCATTAACCTTAAGTGTAGGTGTGCTCTACAAAGAGAATACATTGAGTGATAAAATTATAATTTTATCAAGATTGTGATTATATATCTTAAGGGAGTGAGAAACACCAAGAAAAAAAAATATTTGAATGTATATTCTGTATAATTTTATTATACAGTGAAATATTCTTTAAAGTTTGTCTTATGATTTTTTTCCTTAATAATTTTTTGAGGATTTTTCAATGTAAAATTTAGTGTTATTTTATTATTTATTTTTTCTCTTAAGTAATTGGTTAAATCATTCATTTTATTTTATTTAGTTGATTAAGCCACATTTATCACTAACCATTAATATTAACTTGCAAAGCCATCTATTTTATCTTTCTTTGTTATTGTTCACGTATTTTCTTCACAAGAACTACTTCATTCCGCTGTGCCATTTTTCCAAACATTCCCAACAACCTTCAAACTCAAAAAGTTTACTCGCAATAACTCTCCCTAACCAAATAAGATCACTGGCCTTCTCTGACATACATTAATTCCACTTCCCCTGTCTTCTTCTTATTCTTCTTCTTCTTCATTTTCTGCAAAAGAAACGAAAAAGAAGTTCCATTTCCCTTTCAAGATTTTCACCACTCCTCCAACTCCAGTGCATTAAAAGGTAAGATTTCTTAGCACCAAAACATCCTTTCTTTGCTCATTCTCACTTTGGCATGTTATTGTTCTCGCTTTGCTTTTCAATTTCCATTTTGTTTATCAGATTTTGCTCGAGCAAAACAGATAGTGGCCCTGTTTCTATATTAATATAATTAACTTGAAGAAATTAATAGATTACTAAAAGCTTTGTCTCATTGTTTTTGGATTTCTCAAGATTAGAAAAGGAGAACCATTTTCTGTGGCCGTAGAGGATGCACTGAAACCTGCCTTTATAACTGTTCACATTACAT